TAGTTATCGAAAAAACGATTAAAGACGAGGGACGAACAAACAGCCGGGCTGAACAAATGCGAAAACGCATAACTGATGTCACCGAAAACCCACCTGCTCAGCATCGCGTCGTTTTTTATAGGTAAAGTAAGCGGTGACTTTTTTATCCTGACCAGGCGCTCCAAATTCCATGTCAATCAACTCTCCAAAATGTTCCATATGGATAATCACGTCATTTTCTGCACCCGGTTTGATACCGCGAACAGCAACCACTTTTGATCGGTTATCCAAAATCTGCAAAAATAGGCCGTACAAATGCAAAACATACAAAATAATTGGCCAACGCACCGGCTGCCTGTGCGAAGATGCGTTTTTTGCATAGCTCCTCGCCGATTTTTGCCGCTAACGGCATTGGTTTTTCTGGCAGATGCTTCTAGCTAAAAGAATTTCAGACTGGCTGCCAGGACTGCCAGGAAACATTCCTTCAATATCCCAGTCTTCTAGCTTCCCACTTTCCCGAGTTAGCAACTTACCCGGAAGAAACTTTCAAGAGCCCGTACATAGGTATTACGCTTACCCGCGGGCAGGGTTTGAACTCGTTAGTACCTAGCTGAACAGTGAACATTGCCCTAGGATTTCAGCGTTCAAGCTTCTCAGATCCCCGAGTTATGAACTTACCCGAAAAAAATTCTGGCGAGCCCGTACGCGGGTACCACGCTTATCCGGAGGATGGGATTGAGTGCATTAATACCTAGTTGGACGGGGAACACTGCCCTAAGATTTCAGCGTCCTAACTTCTCAGATCCCCGAGTTATGAACTTGCCTGAGAAAAATTTTGGCGGACCCGTACTCGGGTACCACGCGGGTGTTGGTGCTCATTTTGGGGATTGAGACCGGCACGTGCATGCAGATTAAGTTCCCGGAATTTCAGCCCCGCAGCTTTTATAGGTTCTGAGATGAAAGTGCGTGACAGACGCACACACAGACGTACGAACATACAGACAACCCCTTGTCAATATGCGTTTTCCGCATTGCATAGCTGCATAAAAATTGGATGATGAGATCCACATAAATGCAAAATTTGCTGTCTTTCGTACCAATATTTGATTCCAATGAATAATAATAAACGAAAGAAACATGATAAATCACAAACTTTCGATGAATCCAGCAGCCGTGGTTTTTTCGTTGTTAATGTGATTTCATTCCCTGCAAATGCACTGAATATAAAAAACAAATAATCAACTCGAGCAAGAACGTATGGCCAGAAAATTTTTGAAATAAGAGGGGACATGTGGCAGCTTCTGTGGAAAAACTATTCTAGAAAAAGTATTTTTTTTCTTGGTTTAATCAGTAGTAGTTTTAACAGAAAATTCATTAACAATGCGACAAGTACGAAGCATGGCCATTTAAAGTGTTGAAATACTAAAAACTTAAAAAAAAAAAAACAAAGGGCCATGGACTAACAAGGAATCGAACTCCCCTTTTTACTACCTTCCAATTTTCAAAATTGTGAGATGTTAACCACTGCAGCATCCCATCCTGTGGCTTGCATTTAGCATATGGGAGCTGATGAATCTGTATATGTTGGCGCCCACAGACACATAAACGCACATGCACACACATGCAAACATTGCAGCAAACAGCACCCAGTTTCTAATTTCGGCCCACTTTTCGAGGATATTC